ACACAGGGAAGATACTTCTGGGGAGTGTCATAGTTTTGTAATTAAATAATGTAGTAACAGCTAATTTATTGCCTTTCCCACCCCCTTACCCTCATTAAAATTTCCCACGAGGCTTCACAGATTCTAAAAATCAATATAAATAATTGGTAAGTGATTATGATTCAGCTCTTTAAACAAAAGAGTGCAAGACTACCATGGTATTACTGTTTTTCACAGCTGACACAAGCACTGCATGTAAAGTAAATCCAGAAACACTTTGTGCAGAAACAAATCCTAACATATGGCAAAATCTATAGGTCGTGAATGCCAGAACTTTTGGATTAAAAAGATTTTCATACACAATATCAGGCGTGTCAGAACACTTGCCATCACTGAATTATCAGAAATCTACTGTGAAATGAAAGGCAGCATTCACAATGAGTTAGTATCCAACAGCACCTTCAAAAAAAAAAAAAAGACAAGTCTGAAAGCCTGAAACGCAGACATTGAACATGTTTCCCAGCTGAAGGGACAGGTTTGAGAAGGTAACATACTCCAAAATGAACACAGACTGACCAATTTCTCCACAGTGCTACATGCTGGCAATTCCTAGGAAGTTTTAGCTACTGTATACCAGGTCGCACATCATAATGAACACCGCCTTTGTGGAGCCATTGTTGCCTGTGCTTTGCCACAACTGGATCTCATGACAAAGGCAGGTTTCTGTACTGGTGCTTACTTTAGCAGAACACTGGGATCTCTCTCCAAGTGGTCTGCAAATAGAAAACACCATAAATAAAAATCTGAAGAAGGAACATTTTCAAACTAAGAACAGAGTGAAAGTCATTCCTAAAGAGTTTGCATTAAACTCTTCCCAAATTAAATATTCAGATTCAAAAAGAAATGCATGTCAACAAGGCTTATGATTCAGAAAGTATGTTGATTTCCTTGTTTAAGGTGCTGTTTCACCTATTTCTCCCACAGTTTCATCTATTTTTCCCCTGCCATCCTCTGTTCTCTACAGCACCAGGCTCCTGTGTTACATCAAGTCTTTCATGATACGTTTTAGCCGATCAACTGGAGCTGCTGCATATTGTCACCAATCCTCTCTAGACCAACTTCTGGAAGGAGAAAGTACAGGAGATGCACAAAGAGGTTTTCATCCACAACTGCCGGATTCTGGATAGTTGACTCATAAAAAGATAGTAGTTCATATGGTCTGAACATTGGTATTGTCAAAATTTTATACCGTTATTTAGCTCTTCTCAAATTTGACTTGTTCTCAGGTCTCATTTAACAAAGAAGCCACTTGTGAAGAAGACATGTTGAAAAGTTATTTTGCAAAGCAGCAACTTCACCTCAATGCCACAGCTTCCTTTCATGTGTAAGAACACAGATTATTCCTACAACTCATATTCCAAAGCCTGTTTCCGTGTATTACGGAAGCCTGCAGTCCTTCCCTTGAGGATGAGAAACTGCCTCAGGTGGTAAGAGGGACAGTATCCAGCTAACTTTTTCCTAAAGGTCCCATGCCAACAGCTGGCACCACAGTCAGCACCCACCCAGCCTTGTGTCCATCACAGAAGGTTTTTCTAGGCAGAAATATTACAGAAACACCGCCAACTTGGCAACAGTTAAAGGGCATCATCCTTCAATTCAGTCCCCTCATCTGTGATGATGAGTAGTGTCTTGTTTGGTCAGCTGCAACAGCATTACCCTTTAAGACAGGTCCTTAATCAGAACACTTGACTTTTGATAGCTTCTACAGCAAAAGGCTGCTCTATCCACTATCAGACACAAGGCCTCCTCTTATTTAAAAACCAAGCAAGGAGCTAAATAAGTGAGAGAAAGTAGAATGATTTATCCCTATGGCAAGAAAGTGAAAGACAGCAGTAAGACTCTTGCCAAGGTAACTGATGATTTCCATCAGTTTATCTGCATAAGCAAAACCCCTACAAGTTCTGCTCCATGGTAAAGTGGATTTCTTGATCCAGTGATCAATTAGCATCAATAGCACTGTTCAAACACAACTACTGGAACACATTCAGAAAGACTCATCTCAAACTTTAACGCTTCAGTCTGAATCAACTGCATACTACAACAAGCCTGAAATCTCAAGCTCCGCATATTTTTCAGGTGAACAGACTTTCAGGAATAGTCAGTCTGCCTTATAACAATTATTTTTAAAGTCAAAATGAAAACTAGGAAAGTAAACATGTATTTAATATTTTACAGTTAAAAAGAGGTACATTCCTGTAAACAAAGTTTTGTTTATATATTAATTTATTATAATTTCTTAAATGAGTGTTGTGTTCATATCCCATCTGCATGACATGATATTTCAGGTAAGTAATTTTATTTACATTTAAGCTTCATTCAGAGCAAGTTTTACCCCTAGAAAATTAAATTAATGGAAAACAAACACATTCAAAGGCACTGTCAATGATACACCAGAGTCTATATACTCATTTAGACTCCTCAAACATCCAACTGTCCTGTGCATCTTAACATGACAATTGTAGTTTCTAATAAAATAACATTCAATAAAGCCTTGGCCAACCAAATAAATAAAGGCAGTCTAGTGTAGTTTATGTGATCAGTCACAAACACTTAGCTGCCTGAGATTATTACACACACAGCACAGATGTCAATTTCAAAAAAGTTTATTACTGCTAAGTGTAACAATGTGGCAATCCACGTAACACCTAATTTTCTGGTCATAAAAGCTCTAGTTGAGAAGTGGTATCTTGAGCAAGAGTTGTCCTTGCCCTAATGTATCTGTTCAACATTGATATGAGAACCAATTTGGGCAAATTCATGAAATTCTGCAGTTCCACAGCAGATAGGACGGAAAGCTGTGTGAAAAAAATCCCAGCCGTTTTTAAAATAATTTGCAGTTGTTTTCCTGAAATCTCACCTAAGATATCAGCAAGCAGCAAATGGGAAAACAGCCTTCAAGCAGCTCAGCTAACAAAGGTACTTTTCTCCATCCCTAAAAATGCACAGGACATACCATTGTGCAGCATCAGCCTACAAAGCCCAAAAGGCTGAAAATTGTGTGCACAGACACCACTCCAAACTTCCAAATGGATATTCAGGCTGTTTTTTAAATACACAGAAAAATGGTGTTACCCCTCCACCCAGTAGCATAATCACATCCTACTAAAAAGGAACTTTTTATAGCAATTAAGTGGTTTATTTGCCAAAGGCACCAAAAGCGCCAGTAGTTTATGAAAATAAAAATTAAAAAAGGCTTCCCTTTATCAGGTTTAGATTTGTTTTCCTCCGTATCACTTAGGAAACACAACTAATATGAGACCTTCTCCAAGTTTCACAGTAACTGATGATGCGTAGAAGTTACCAGGAAATACGATCCTTGAGGCACATAAATGATGAAGTTTTGGTCATGGGGCTTGGGGATTCTTTAAGTTAAAATAAACTTTAAACCACTATTCTACCTAATTCTCAAAACAGGTAATGGTCTGCACTGCAAAGATTAATTTGCCACATGTAGTCGGCACTCCCAGGATCCAATCTCCACTCTGAATGGAGGAGAGAGGTGAACTAAGAACACCCCAGTGGTACTAATCCTCCTCTTCCCCCCAGTGCCGATCAGGTACTTATGGAATAGTTTATCTCCCCTTCACTGAGGGCTGCAAAACACTCCGTGTCAGTCACATTCTTCCCCAAAAATTGTACATTTATTGAAGCAATCAGTCCTCTGAATTCACAAGAAACTCGGGCATGCATCCACACTTTCCCATCATTGAGGTAAACACCCTTCAGCAGCATGACCAGAACTATCGACAACTTCCAACTCTGTGAAAAACTAAGATTTCCTCTTTCAAGAGGAATCCAAAGAGGTTTTGATTGTAACTTCCAGGTTCACCCCATTTATACAGGAGTTTTTCTAGGGATGGTAAAATTGACTGGAAGCCCACTACAGAAAGAATATCTTTAGCTTAAAGCATCTGACTTCATCAGCTCCTCAGAAAGCAGAGCTCATTTGGAAGTAAATGAAAGGAACTGCAGAATCTGCACTACAAGTGGCGTCTTTCCCCTTTCCTTTACACAATCTTCATGCATATTTTGGATGCAAGAGGTGTATTCTTTGGCAGTTGCCGTCTGAACTCCCAAAGAATGGAGCAGACCACAAGATCCTCTCCCTCGCTCCACCTACAAACCCTTAACAACAAAAAAAGGGGGTGGTGGTGATCCTATACGGTTGCCCAATACACCAAAGGGAAGGCATACATCCTACAGAGCTGCCTAAATACTTGGAAAGCAATGCATATAGAAGTCAGCTAGAAGTTAAAGAAAGCTTAAAACTAGCTGGCAGGAAGACAAACTTTCTGTACTTGCCATTGGTTTGCCTGACACCAGCTGACTGTTCCAGTAGTCCTTCACACCAGAAGCAAAGCAGCTGAAATTCATCCCTGATGCAACTCCAGCGAGACTAATAGGTTTCCACAAGAGCGAATCAGGCCCTGTATATCTAAAACCAAGCCCACTAAAGTTTCACTGAAGCGAAATTGCAGGAGTACAATCTATGGATAACAGCTGGAGAACATTAACTCTCTCCCCAGCCCTTGCTGGGGTTAATTTTTTTCTTTCTGTACAGACAGGAAGCAGTCATATAGCATACTGCATAATATAAGGATCCTGGGATATAAAGACGAGTAGAAAAAGATTACAAAGAGCGTTCTACAAGTTTTTAGCAAAGTTAACGCTGCCATAACCCCCGAGCTACCTTCGAACAGCAAGCCGCGCCGCTGGCCCGACATCATGAGCTGAGACAGCACTTAAACTCCTATAGTGAAAAAAATGACTAAAAACCGAGGGTGTTTTCAAGGGGCGCAGCGGGAGCCCAAGAACAGTGTCGCGGATCCGGGCGGGGGTCGGTCGCGGATCCCCGGGGAGAGGAGGATCCCGCCGCAGCGACCCTGCCCTGTCCCTCCTCCCCGGCCAGGACCCCGACGCTGCTCCAGCACCCCTCCTGCTCCTGCCGCCCCCCAGCTCACCCTCGCTGCCGTACTGCTTGCCATTGTTCGCGCCCATCCTGCCGCCTTCATGCTCGTCGCCGCTTTCCCACGCCGCCGCTCAGCATCTCTGCCGCGGGGCGCCGAGCGCAGCCCCGGGGCACTGCTGGGGGAACAGCCCCCAGAGGTTTTCACGGCGACATGTCCAAAGCAGCCCTGCAACTTCCTCCGCTTCTTCTCGGGTGGCCGACACTCTCCCTTCCCCACGGGACAAAAAAAATTAAAACAAAAAACTTTAAAAAATTTTAAAAAAACCCCACCAGCCAACCAAAAAACTTTAAAAACGAAAGAATAAAAAATGCGATGTATCGGCGCGCCCTCCCCGCCCCGGTTTCCAGCCGGGGTGTCCGGGCCAGGAAGGCGGCTCCAGTTATAATCCACAAGCTGGACGGGCGGGACGGCCTCCGGGCTCTGGCTCCACCGCCCCGCGGCTGGCGCTCGGCTCCTCCGTGCTTCAGCGCCGCTCCGCCTTCCTCCTCCTCCTCCTCGCAGCCCTGCCGCTGCCGCCGCCTCCCCCGAGAGGCCGCCGCCAGCCACTTGTTGCCCGGGGCGGGAGGAAAGGGAGCCTCGGCCGCAGACTTTTGTTAGCGGCAGGCGCCTCCTCCCGGCGCCCAGCGCCGCCGGGCCGGGGGAGGGAGGCAGGGAGGGAGGGGATGGGGATGGAGAGAGGATGGAGCCCGGAGCCGGCCCCGGCCCTTAAAGACACAGCGCCCGGCACGGGGGCTCCCCTGGCCGCTGTCCTCCTGCCTTGCCGCCCCCGCTGTCCCGGCGGGGATGGCTGCGGGGGCTGCTCGCAGAGACCCGCCCAGGGCGGCCCTGCCCGGGTGTCCTTCCGACGGGCAGGACGGCGGCTCTGCGTTCCGCACCTTCGCGGCACCCCCGGCCCCGTGCAGCTCACCGGGGGCTCACAGAAAGTCGCCGTGTGTAGGAGGAAGCCGCCCAGCAGGGACGCTTACTTCTCGCTCCCTCCGGCTGCTCCGGAGCTCGAGCTGTTTTCTCCTTGCAAATGGTATTCCCACTCAATTCCAGTACATCACTACCGGCCTTTGCCGCCACATCGAAGGAAAAAAATCCAACTGTTGACATCCCCCAAATTAGTTATTCAGGTATTCTGTAGGGATGTATCTCATCCCTTGGGATAAGATGTTTCTATTAAACTTAGCTGTCTTAAAAAAAAAACAATTTCTTCTTCTTTCATCTAAAAGACAGACTCTTGGATCACTGGGAATGTCAGGGATAGTGGACATCCCAAGTGCAGCCCACCCAGACAACGGCATTGGGAAGCAAGGATTTCACTACTGCATGAGAGCCCACACCACCTCTTTCTGGCAAAAGGGCTGGATAACAAGGAATGCTGTCAAGTGGGAGTGAGGATATACTGCGTGTGACCAGGTTAATACAAAAACTGCCAGTCCCAAGAGGGCACTTCCCCCAGTGTGCCAGCTAAGAATATCAATTAACTTTGCCGCACACAGCTGTTACCCAGGTTAAGTGGTAACCGAGTATTATCAAAGGCTTTTTGGGAATGAATCGGGTCTAAAAGAAGCAAGAAAGAAGGATGAAAGTTTGTGATAGGTGGAGAGAGACGCTAGAGCAGGCAGTTCTGGTTTGGTGCTGGTATCTCAGCTCTGCCTTGGCCTGATGGTGTTGGCTCTCTGTCTGGTGGCAGGTCAGGGTGCAACAAGCAAGGATCCCACCCCAGGCATGCAGGGGGTCTTGTGGCACGTGTGCTGGCACAGGGAGCAGCACAGGTACACGTAACTATACCTGAAATGCAGTTACACAGGTACCTGCAGGACATGTGGGGCAATAGAGGGACCCACACTTCTAGAAGAGGAGTGTCAGCTTGTAACCCACACAGCCTCGGGAGTGGCATGCACAAAGCAATGCATGTTTGAGACTAGGACTTTTTAAGATTAGTTTGAAAGTTCTTTACTAACACTTTGCAAATATCTACGGTTGGTGTTTATGTGTTGTATTGCTCATACTGGCCCCGGCATAGAGCTCACTGATTGCTAGGTCAACATGTCCTTGTTAAAAAGACAAAAACACTTTAATTCTGATTTGATTAAAACCAGGAGTTGAGCAGTTTTCCCCACACCACACTATGATCTTATGTATGAAAAAGCCTGTCTTCCTAAACATACACAACACCCACAAGACAATTACTGCATGTACAGATAATTCTAAGCTAATTATATCTTTGTCAACTTAGACAAACGGCATATGAAATGGCAGAGGCAAAAGTATCAACACTGACAGGACTACAGAAAAGGTGCCTAAAACCTGACGTTTTGGGGATTTCTTTTGTTTTTTGGGTTTTTTTTAAGCGCATTTTCATTAAGAGGTGGGCTAATTACCAGAAGCTGAAGTAGGTACCCGCAGCAGAGATGACTGACAAGTAATCAGGCAATGTTTATGAGGCTCTAATCCCATCATATACCCATCATTAACTTTCTCCTTGTATAAAAGTTTTGGTCCTGATTCAATACTGAACACTACAATACAGTGCTACACACACACTTCAATTCTCAAAAATCAGTGAAGAAAATAGTGCCTTCTGGGGTAAGACTCATCAAATGACCAGCCTTGGTCCTTCAAAACAAAATATGAATCAGTCTAAAAATCAAAGGTAATCTAGGTAATCAAAGGTTAATTTCTAATATGAAACAAACTTAGTACTTAATGCCAAAGCAGGTAGGCCTTGACACAGGTGTCTGCTTTTAACATCCTCTACTTTCTTTGTGAGAGTTACCTGTTCAGGGGCAGGGCAGGGGACAGGGGGAATCAATCTGCCTTCTGTAAGACAGCGAAAGGTTGTGGGGCAACATTAATATCTGCTTACATATGAGCCCACAGGCTGCCAAAAACACATACAGCCAAGTACTTTTTTCCCTGCTGTGTGGTTTGTGGGGTTTGAAAACCACACCCCAAACACTTGTTAGGAACTCACCTAGGCAGAGTAGGATGGTAAATAAAAAAACATAGGGCTTTGTACAGCACAGCTGCCTACCTTTGTCACTCAAACCCTCATGCCCAACTGGGCTGTGGGCCAGCACAGCCTGCCATACCATCCTCCTCACCAGTGCTGCAGGGCAGTGCTAGTCCCCAGCTGTGGGACAGCACATGCAGGCTGAAAACAGCACGTGTCCCTGCTCCATGTGCAGCACAGCTGTGCTTAATTCCAGCCTGAAATACAGCAATGGGAGTACCCACTGCAAACCACTCCTGAGGCAGCCTCTCAGCTCCTCATGTCAGTGGCAGTCCTCCGTGGCTGTCAACCACCCAAAAGTGTTCCTATGTGGGTCATAGGACCATGAAAGTCAAAGATCCCACTTCTAACTCCTAGAAAGCTGTGCAACCTTTTTGACACATAAGAGAGAAATTTCTCAGACTGGTTGGAAATATTATCTCACATAGACCCAAGTGCATAGCTGTATGTAAATAATTTTACATCATTCAGAAATTATGAATTCACTCCTTGAGGGCAAATATAGCAGTTTCCCTCCAAATTCAACATCTGATGCACCACAACTGAAATTACTCCCTTTTCCAAGGGGTAATTTTGCTTATCAAAACCAGCATAGGCTGGTGTTTTGTGAGACATGAAGCTCAGCTGTTGAGGGAGCCCCGTAAAGAATAAAGATATTAGACAGACATGTAACCACTCTGTCAAGTTTATGACATAAATCCCAGGAATATTCCACCATGACCAGCACCAAAAGGAAGGAAAAACAAAAACAATAAAACAAAAAACATCCCAATAACAAAACAAAACCCGAAACAAACAAAATAAACCAAAATACACAAGCAAACAAACAAAAAACACCCAGGGGAAAAAACACATAGAGAGGAAAGAAAGTCTTGGTCTAGGAGATTTGAACACAGCTTTTTGATGAAGGACTGGATATTGCTTCTGCACATCATGTTACACTCTTTCTATAGGAGAATGAGGTGGAGGACAGAGGAGGAAACAGTAAAGTACCAAACTCACTTTGTTATAAAGACATAAAACTCTCACGAGAAATGTATCCATCACAGATGATACTGCTGATAATGGGTTTCATGCAATGCATGTAGGACATCAGACTTGGAGCTTCATAAACCCAAAACATCATCATGAGCAGAGACATTGGGAAATGTTAGTTTGAAGAGACTACAAGTTCCAACTAGGACTGAGTCATCTTGTAGTCCTTCAGTATTTACCAAACACTTGGTTCATTGTGGGATTCGCTGTGGCACCCTGGGAGGCCTGCTATGTTCAGAGATATGGCTGGGGACTTTGTACCCTTTTGGAGCCTGCACATGAGACTTAGGAAGATATTTTCTTTCAACAATTTCAGAGATGTTTCATTCATCCTTGGCAAAATTGGGTAGTAGGGTTTTTTTTCCTTTTTATTCTCCTTGTCTTCTAGTTGGTCCATATCTTATACATTGTGATTATTCAGCTTGAACTACATAGTATATGTACGTACAAATATGAAGCACAAGTAGGAGTCCCTTGGCTGTGACTGAATTAAGCTGTCTGAACCATATCACATGTGTGAAGTTTACAATAACCCTTTAAGACACTCTCACCTTCAAAATGGTGCAAAGGATCTGAAAGCACATCAGTTCTGCCATCTTTTCAATGATCCAAAGGAGATAGAGTGCTTTCTATAAGGACAAGGACAACTTTTGGTGGTTTTGCCTCTTAATCCAAGCAGTACATGTCCACTTCAGGGGGATGAGATGGAGTACTATCAAATGCTGGTTTTGCAAGACAGAAAGATTTGTTGTTCCATATGTGCCTTCCTATGCTTTCCTTCTTCATAAGAAGACATCAATGCATTTTTATTAGACTTGTATCCTGTCCCAGCAAGAGGAACTTAGAAATTATTAGAGCCGAGGAAAAAATAAGAAAACTATGGGCCAAAATGTTTCTATTTGGATATGTTGCTACAATCATTTCACAGAATGTTTGTATTACATCTGTATTCATTATGGGCCTCCCTCTGTGGTACATTACATGTCTCATGATGCACCATTTTTCTATTTCATGAACAAAACCACAGCATTTTTTGAAGAAGTAGCCAAATAAAGGGTTCTGGATAAGGAAAATAAAATTTAAAAAATTGAAAGCAGCATAACTATTTCCATAAGATATCATCACAGCAATTCCAGGACTAAATAATTTGGCTTTGAAA